TTAGAGTTATAATCAAATTTATTTTCTTTGATTGTATATAAAATCAAATTATAAATTTTTAAGAGTTTAGAATAGAAAAGTAAGGTAAAATACTTACCTTCTATCCAAATTTTATTTCTAAAAGAAATTCATGGATCAATTGACAATCATTATGTACAAGTTAAGCATCATGCACATATCCCAAAGTCTCTATTCAATTTGTTGAGTCTCGTGCTGATAACGTGTTATAAAAAAATAAAAAAAGAAGAAGAGTATTGCAGAAAAAAGTACGGAGAGAATTCTTTTTAATTTGGGATGAAATTAGAATGGAATAGAACCCCTATATTTATAAGGAAAAAGTGTCTTAACCACCAAGTCACAAACCCTAAAATCTCTCTAAAATATAAATATTTAAATAAAATATTATTTATAACACTTTGGTAATTATTAATTTAGAATTATAGTCGATTTCTAACAACTAAGCATTACAAATATTTTCCTTAACAAGTTCTTTTCGATGAAAGGTGAAAAAAATGTTTTATATATATATATATATATATATATATATATATATATATATATATATATATATGGGTAATCCATTTGAAATACTTTCCAAATTACAGAGTGTTCCATATCGAGAACAAAAATGTTGGAAAATACTTTTTCTTCATACCAAACACACAGGGCGAATCCAGTAAAAGGAAAGAGGGTTCAAATCAAATGAATCATTTTAGCCGAAAAATTATATTGTGTATAAATAGATAAAGATAAACTTCTTTTCTTGTTATATATAAATTTTTCATAAGATAATATGCTCGTGTAGGGTAAAGGTTCAATAGTTGCATTATGTATTAAGTCCAACTATGATATTCTAGTAGATTTTTAATTTTCTTGCATAAATTTCTGCCTTCGTCGCCAAAATACCATGGACAACATCTATTGCCTCAGTTGGTTAGTCACCTTCATTTCCAATCAGAAGGTTGAAAGTCTGAGTGTTATCAATTAAAGAGAAGAACTACTATCAAGTCATCCGCAAGGCTGCAATGAAGTGTCGTGATAAGAAAACAGTTCTTTTTTTCTGAAGGAAACAACCCCTGGTAAAATCACCCACAGAAGGTTCGTTGGAGAAGTACAGAAGAGGCTAAAAAATTTCCTCCAACTATTAAGTGGTTCATTATACTAAAGTTATAAGCATGTTCTTAGGTATTTGCTTTAAAACTTTAACAGCTTGTTTGGGTGATTGTTATATATCATTTCGCAATGCATCCAATAATATTATATTATATTATACTATATTATTTTAATAAATATAATATTTGGAGATTGTATTATTCGTCGCCGTTTTATAATGTCATGCACCAATAATATGAAAAATAAATTTTCAATATTATATTGAAAAAGTATGGTACGAGATAGAACTATTATATAAAAGGATAGGGTAAAAGATAAAATATGATTATTGTATGGGTCCAAATTTGGCAACCACAACCATTACAGAGGAGGACGAGGAACGAGGTTATCGTGATGCAATGTCTGATGGTCCCCGTGGTGAAAGGCAACGACCAAGGGCGGTCAGTCGATGCACGACGTCCACGATAGTGTAAGCTTTGTGGGAGAAAGTAAGAATATGCTTTTCGAATATTCTCTATGTTGTACTTTTTAGGGTTTTTTTGGGATGGTCCCTTATAAATAGGAAGAGTGAGCAAAGAAAAGGAGGATCGGACAAAAAAGACAAAGGAACACTTTGTAAAAGATTCATCTGAGAGTGAATACAAAAGAAGTCTTGTTCATTGATTGCACAACAAAAAGTTTATATCATTGCACAATATAGAGAAGATCCAAAGATTCCAGGATCATCTTACATTTATTCCTTTCCTACGCCGATTGCATCTACTAAGATTGGTTGTGCATTTAAGTCTTCACATTTATGAGCACTTATTTGATTCCAACATATTAGTTACATCATTCATCTTGCTTACTTCTTCCATTGCTTGATCTAGATTTTATTATGCTTGACTAAGATTGACCTCATCATTATCATTAATTGATTTAATCAAAACGGTTTGGATATCTTTTGGTCAAACAATTTGCCGCCGTCTGTGGGGATTTCTTTAGTTAAGATTTTAGTTTCATCTAGATCATAAAAAGGGGTAGTCACCTCTTCCTAGCTTTGCATAAACTAATAATGGCAGGAAAATGAGATGCAAGGTTAAAAGAAATAGTAGGTGTCACAACCAACATCCTGTACACCATTAACGAAGACGGCAGGGAAGATAACGAAAACGTGACACCAAACACTACACCTAGGGGAGACGCTTCACCTCCCCCGCATGAAAGCGTAACTGCTTCACGCGAGAAGGAAGCCTCCACGTCTACAACAGGAGAGGCACCACCGGTGGTAAAAAGACTACTGGAAGAGTGGCTGACAAACACTCTGAACAACATACTTGATAAACCAGCTCAAAGGGAGAATAGAGACATTGCACACATAGATGTCGCAACAATCGCCGGCGAACTAGATGCCCCCCGCACAGGTAACACTCATACTACTGTTGACACAGGTAATGACACACTCGCAGCCATCCTAACGAAAATGGAAAGTGAGAATGAGGCACTCCGTGACCAGATGAAGGAGCATCAAGAAAGGGTCGACAAAATACCAGGCGTCCCAAAGTTGTTACCAAAACGGGACGTTGGCCGATTTATCGAGCAACCATACAATGAGGAAGCAGCTGGGGGGATCAGTGCTGCTGGGGGGAGCCCTAACCTGGTACTCACAGCTACCAGCACGGTCAATAACAACGTTCGAAGAAATGGCGGACAAGTTTGTCAGCGCTCATGCATGAGCTAAAAAGGCGGAAGCTAATGTAAACGACATATTCGCCGTTAGGCAGACGTACGACGAGGGACTCAGGGATTTCCTAGCCCGATTCAACAGGGTGAGAATGAGCCTACCAAATGTGTCAGAGGGGATGGCGATAGCAACCTTCCAGAACGAGTTAAGCAGGAGGGGGTCGAGAGCAACCAGAAAGTTATTAAGCAGGCTCATGAAATACCCTCCCACCACTTGGGAAGAAATCCACAACGCCTATCGCGCCGAGGTAAGGGCCGACGAGGACGACCTCAATGGTCCGATCCAATGGCTGACGTCAGTTCAAGCTGAAGCAAGGAAAGATCGTTGCAATGACGATCGAAGGGATCAGTTACCCCGTCTCAGCCGAGAAAGACATCAACCCTACATTAGGACATCCATCCCACCTCCTCCGTGGCACACAGATGTCCCCCCTCGACATACCGCGTCACACCGAAACGAAAGAGGTATGCCTCCGCTCTTATCTGCTCACAATTTTTGTGTTTCTCCTTCAGAAATAGTGTATGCACTAGAGAAGCTCGACCCAAAGGTGCAATGGCCACAAAAGATGAAATCCGACCCGAGCACCCGGAAGTCGAATGTTCTTTATAAATTCCACTAGGAAAGGGGTCACAAAACCGAGGATTGCATAGGTCTGCGGCAGGAGGTAGTAAGAATGCTAAATCAGGGACACCTGAAAGAACTACTGAGCGACCGAGGACGAGCTAACTTTGCTCGCGGATGCGAAGAACCCCAGGGACCCCCAAAACCCCCTTCTCCCGCTCGTACCATACAAATGATCATCGGTGGAGGCGATGACGCAACAATCAACCATGTAAAGTTCACCACTACGCACAAACTCAAACGATCGATCACTCATGAACGGTATGATGACCTCGAAGATAGTATCATCTTCGATAACTCAGATACTGACGGTTTGTCTTTCCCTCACTACGATGCTCTTGTTATCACTTTACGTATTGCAGATACTGTTGTAAACAGAATAATGGGGGATCACGGAAGCGGCGTATGTATTATCCATCCTCGAGTCCTCATACATGTGAGACTCGACGATAAAATAATACCGCATTGCATAACACTAACGGGTTTTAATAATGCAGTCGAACGAACTTCTGGAGAGATAGTGCTACCCGTTCTAGCCGGAGGAGTCACCCTGGAAACGACATTTCACGTCATGGATCAAGATACAACCTACAACGCTATCATAGGGCGCCCATGGATACACGCCATGCAAGCAACCCCGTCAAGTCTCTATCAAGTAATCAAATTTCCCACTCTATGGGGGATATTCAGCATCTAGGGCGAACAACGCACCACACAAGAATATTATCGCATCGCCCAGGATTGCGCACATACCCAACAACTAAAAGGAGCAAGCGCGGAAGCATAATAATTAGCAATGTCGGGAACCAAACTCGACGCACAGATAGACGCTATCAAGGACCCCGATATCCTGGAAGCCTCCGAGTCGACGATAGAATATCTCGATCCTGTCCAACTGGACAACAATGACAATACAAAAAAGGTTTATTTCGGGCATAATCTCTCAGAACCAGGTAAGTTCCATAACTTCGTAACTGACAGTGCCGATTTGTTTGCCTTCTCCCATTCAGATATGCCAGGCATCCCGAAAGATATCGCCACGCACAAACTGAATGTTGACCCCCTCTATCCACTTGTGCGGCAAATGAGGAGAAAGTTCAGCGCCTCAATCAACAATGTGGTCAGCGAAGAAGTTGATAAGTTGCTCGCCAATGGCTCCGTCCGAGAGTCAAAGTATCCCTAGTGGGTCGCCAATATGGTCATGGTGAAGAAGAAAAACGGAAAGTGGCGGATGTGCGTTGATATTATAGACCTAAATAAGGCATGCCCGAAAGACTCCTTTCCATTGCCACACATCGACCAGCTCATCGACGCAACAACGGGACATGAGTTGCTAAACTTCTTATATGCCTACTCGGGTTACAAGCAGATCTTAATGGAAGAAGAGGACCAAGAGAAAACTACTTTTATCACTCACCAGGGAACATAGTGCTACAAAGTCATGCCGTTCGGACTTAAGAATGCGGGGATGACATACCAAAGGTTAGTCACCAAGATGTTCAAAAATCAACTTGGCAAAACAATGGATGTCTAGATCGATGACATGCTGGTCAAGTCGAAAAGGAAAGAAGATCACATCGATCATCTGCAGGAAGCCTTCGACATACTGAGGCAGTACGACATGAAACTAAACCCCGAAAAATGCGCCTTCGGCGTAACCTCGGGCAAATTTCTCGATTTTTTGGTATCACAAAGAGGCATCGAGGTCAATCCAGATAAGATTAAGGCCATCGAAGGAATACCAGAAATGTTAACCAGCAAAAAGCAGGTACAAAAATTGACTGGTCGGATAGCCGCCCTGTCAAGGTTCATCTCACGGTCATCAGATAGATGCCATAAACTTTTTAATGTGTTAAAGGAAGACAACGGGCTCCAGTGGAATTCGGAATATGTCAACGCCCTAAGAAAACTAAAAGCATACTTGTCCTCACCGCCATTACTCGCCAAGGCAGATCCAGGCGAGTGCCTCCTCGTCTACCTAGCTGTCTTCGAAGTCGCGGTAAGCGCAGTTTTGGTCCGCGAAAACAAAGGTACGCAATCTCCAATTTACTATATCAGCAAAACCTTAATTGATGCCGAAACGAGGTATCCCCACCTCGAAAAAGTGGCTCTAGCATTAGTCATAGCTTCACGGAAGCTCAGGCCATATTTTCAATGTCACCCCATAAAGGTGGTGACAAATTTTCCTCTAAGGAGCATCCTGCACATACCCAAATTATAGGGTAGATTGTCAAATGGGCCATAGAATTGAACGAGCACGATATAACATATCAACCGCGAACTGCAATAAAGTCGCAAGTGCTCGCCGATTTCGTCGCCGACTTCAGTGCAGAAATATAGCCCGAAGTCGAGCAAGAAGCGCTTCACACCTCCCCCGGATGGCCCGACCTCTAGGTCCTCTACACTGACAGCGCATCTAATGCATTAGGGTATAGACTAGGACTCGTACTTGAAGTCCCTACAGGAGAAGTGATTCGCCAATCCATACGGTGTCCCGAAATGACTAACAATGAGGCCGAGTATGAGGCCGTAATTGCAGGATTGAAATTATCCCTTAAGTATGGTGCACGAAATCATCCTTCGCTGCGACTCTCAACTCGTTGTAAATCAAGTTACTAGGACTTTCCAAATCAAGGAGTAGAGACTACAGAAATACCAGACAGAAATCCATAAACTACTACCAGAATTCGACGAATGCCGACCCGAACAGATACCCCGGGTGCAAAACATCGAAGTAGATGGCCTCGCTAAACTGGTGGCAGCAACCAAAAATATAACCAAGGAAAACTTGGTCACCCTCCTCCACTCATGAATAGACCAGGTCGAGGTACATTCTATAAACTTAACTTGGGACTGGCAAAACCGCATTATAACATATTTGCAGGAAGGAACACTCCCGCAAGATAAAAAAGAAGCCAAAAAGCTTCGAATACAGGCAGCCAGGTGCAACCTCATAAATCATGACCTTTACAAAAGGACGTTCCGCGGCCTTTGGCCAAATGCCTTGGACCAAATCAAACAAGGCGTGTGCTAGAAGCAGTACACGAGGGCCACTACGGTGCCCATATAGGCAACTGAGCCTTCGTAAGATGCCTTATTCGCGTAGGATACTATTGGCCCACTATGAAAAAGGAAGCCATGGATTACGTCAAGAAATGTGAGCAATGCCAAAAGTACGGCTCTATGATACACCAAGGGGGCGAACTCCTGCATTCCGTCACTTCACCATGTCCGTTTATAAAATGGGGAATGGATATCGCCGAACCCCGCCCAGCAGGCCGAGGTAAGATACGCTTCCTTTTGATTTTAACTGATTACTTTTCCAAATGGGTGGAAGCAGGTGAGTTCACCCAAATACGTGATCAGGAAGTCATCGCATTCATATGGAAAACATAATATGCCGCTTCAGCATCCCCAATGAAATTAGCTGTGAAAATGGACCTCAGTTCGTCGGGAAAAAGATGATCGATTTCTTCGAAAAATGGCGCATTAAGCGGATACTCTCCACGCCATATCATCCCGGTGGTAACGGTCAAGCTGAATCCTCTAACAAAATAATATTGAATATACTAAAGAAAAAGCTCGAGGACGCCAAAGGGCTATGGTCAGAACTGCTACCAGAGGTGTTGTGGGCTTACCGCACCATGCCAAAAACCAGCACATGCGAAACGCCATATTCATTAGTCTACGGGACCGACGCCGTTATACCCGTTGAGGTCGGGGAACCTAGCCTGAGATACTCCAATGAGAGTGGACCAAACAACAACGAAAATAGAATACAAGACCTGGACGAAGTGGAAGAACGAAGGGATATGGATCACCTAAGGATGGTAGCCCAAAAACAACAAGCAGAAAGGTACTACAACAAGAAGGCCAAAGTACAACCACTCAGAATGGGGGACTACGTCCTCAAGGCCAAAAAACAAGCAACAAAAGACCCAAATGAAGGAAAATTAGGAACAAAATGGGACGGGCCATATAAAATCACAGCAGCAGCAAGCAAAGGAGCATTCCAGTTAGAAACAATGGAAGGAAAACTACTACAAAATAACTGGAATGTCGCCACCTCAAATACTTCCACTTCTGAAAAATGACGCCACCTAAGTCGTACTCTTTTTTCCTCACCCGGGTTTTATCCCAATCGGGTTTTCTCGAGGAGGCTTTAAACGAGGCGACGAGGGGGGCGTCTCGAAGTTAAAAGTATAATTCGTCGCCCAGCCTGCCGATGGCATCTCCAAGCCGAGTAATAAAGGGACTAGGTACAAGGAAACTCCATTGTATGTACGAAATTGACATGCATCTCCAATGTATGGATGAAATTACTCCATTGTATGTACGAAATCGACATGTATCTCCTACGTATGAATGAAATTACTCCAATGAATGTACAAAATCGACATGTATCTCCAATATATGAATGAAACCGGCATATATGACACTCCAGCAAATAAAATAAAACATGTTACCCTCCGTCGTCCTTTCACAAACACGAGGGGATAACACTTCGACATTAGCTAGAAAGTAACATCCCAATTGCTAAGGCCGTTACTAAAGAAAAGAGCTTGACATCGCTGGAACCACGACGGGATAACTCTTTGATATTAGCTCGAAAGTAACATCCCTATGGCTAAGGCCGTTACTAAAGAAAAGAGCTCGACAGCGTTTGAACTACGACGGGATATTCAACATTAGCTCTAAAGTAACATCCCTATGGCTAAGGCCGTTACAAAAGAAAAGATCTCGACATCGCTCGAACCACGACGGGTTAACATTTCGACGATAACTCAAAATAACACCCTTACGGCAAAAGCCGCTGGTAAAGACAAGGGCTTGACCTCGCTCGAAATGCAACGGGCTAACATTTTGACAATAACTCAAAATAGCACGACTACGGCCAAGGTCATCGCCAAATAAACAAACAACAAAAAAAACAATTCAAAGGTACACAACAAAAAATAACTTTTCCATTACAGCTAGCACATTACAAGTCCCTTTTTTTAAAAAGGGCTCAAGGACGCCTCACAAAAATAGCAAAACAAAAATAAATACAACCAAATTCTATGCCACATCATCCCCCGTGGCATACACCTCATTGTACCAAGAATAGGAGGCGAGCTTGTCCGCGTCGTCAGAATCAACATCGTCTCCACCAGGCATGCCAGGGTCATATCCGCACGCCTCACGAGATGCACATGCCTTGACACGCACATCCCGAAGTTCTGCCTGAAACGCCCTCCCATCAGCATGAAGAGACTTATATACGTCAAGATGAGCTTCGACGCGTACTGTGATGACCCAAAAGGTCATCACTTGTTTTTAAAGTAAATTCTGCGTTCCGAGGCCTTAAAAACCTCTTTCAGCATCACCTTGATTTGCGTGCGCAGTCCGGGCGCGTAGCCGAAAAGTCTATATGTGAAAATCTGTGAAAAATGATAAAATTTGGCTTTAAAATGATTTAAGTTGACTTCGGTCAACATTTTGGGTAAACGGACCCGGACCCATGATTCGACAGTCCCGGAGGGTCCGTAGAAAAATATGGGACTTTGGCGTATGCCCGGAATCGAATTCCGAGGTCCCAAGCCCGAGAATTGAATTTTTAAAGAAAATTATTTTCTGAAATTAATTATGTGATTTGGAAATGAATTGTGATTAGAACTTGATGGTATCGGGCCCGTATTTAGGTTCAGGTGCTCGGTACAGGTCTTATATGTGATTTATGATAAGTTTGTGAAGTTTGGTAAGAAACGGAATCCATTTGACGTGATTCGGACCTTAAATGCGAAATTTGATGTTTAAAGAAGTTTGGAGATATTTCATTCATCTTGAGGTTTAATTCGATGTTCGTGACGTTATTTTGGTGATTTGATTACATGAATAAGTCTGTAGGATGTCTTTGAGGTTGTGTGTATATTTGGTTTGGATCCCCGAGGGCTCGGGTGAGTTTTGGATAGGCCACGGGGTGAGATTTTGGACTTAAGGAATTGCAGGTCTGCAGGCTTCGCATTTGCGAAGCTTGGCTCGCAAATGCGTGATCTCCATCGCAAATGCGAACAAAGACCTGGGCAGGCCTGATCGCAAATGCGACCACTTGGATCGCAAATGCGGAAGGCCCCAGTCGCAAATGCGACGTCTGTTTCGCAAATGCGAAAGTTTCATTTAATGCCCTCTATCGCAAATGCGAGCTCTTTTTTGCAATTCCCAACTTAGCAGGGTCGAGGTTCGCAATTGCAGACCCCTGTTCGCATTTCCCACATCTGCAACCTACAACTTTTATACTTAGACGAATTTTTAACCCATTTTCATATCCTCTCAAAACATAAACACACTAAGGCGATTTTTCAAAGGTTTCTTCTCCTCCAAATCAATTATAAGTCGTTTTTAACTAATTTTCTTCAATCCATAACATCTTTTAACATGATTTCAACTTAAAATCCATGATTTTCATGGGGAAAGTGGGTGTTTTGGGTAGAACCTAGGTTTTTTAAAAATTGGGGATTTGGACCTCGATTTGAGGTCCAATTTCAAAATAAATTATATATTTGGGTTCGTGGGGGAATGGGTAATCGGGTTTTGGTTCGAACCTCGGGTTTTGACCATGTGGGCCCGGGGGAGATTTTTGACTTTTCGGGTAAAACTTTGGAAAAACTCATTTTCATGCATTAGAATTATTGATGTAATTAAGTAACTTGTGGCTAGATACGAGCGGATTGGTGGTGGAATCAAGGGGTAAAGCGATAATTGAGACGTGAATTGTGTTCGTGCATCGAGGTAAGTGTTTGGTCTAACCTTAGCTTGAGGGATTAGGAGTTGAGTCCTATTTGCTATATGATAATTGTTGAGTACGACGTATAGGCATGGTGACGAGTATCTATACGTTGGTGTCAGGCATGCCCCTGAGTCTTATATTGCGGTTATCATGACCTTGTTGTATTATTTATGCTTTGGTGATGATTTTCTATTTGTTGTGAAAAGTTTGTGGAAGGGATTGTGATCCTTGAACATTGAGGAGCGTTGGCTCGAGTTGTATAACGAATTGTGAAAGTATAAGAGGTAATTGAACCCTTTGGAGCATTGGCTCAAGTGGTAAAGTGAGTTGTGAAGTAAAAGTGAAAAAGAGGAAAGAATCACTATATTGCCTCCCTTGCCAGGATAATGCTGTTGTTTTGATATTGTCCCTCGCCGGGACTTGTTGTTGAAATATCGTTCCCTTTCCGGGATTCTTGTTGTAATTTCATTTATTTCCTTGCCCTATTGTTTGTGACTGTTGTTTGGGTGAGGAAGAGAGTTAATGCACGAAGGGTGGTGCCGTGCATTGTTTTTGTGAGGAAAGAGTGTAAAGCCCGAAGGGTGATGCCGTGTATGATTGTGAGGAAAGAGTGTAAAGCACGATGGGTGATGCCGTGCCAAACGATGTACCATTCCGTGCCGATTATATTGATTATATGGTGAGGAAAGAGAGCAAAAGCACGAAGGGTGATGTCGTGCATAATTTTTGTTACATGATTGCTTTGGTGAGGACGAGAGTAAATGCACGAAGGGTGATGCCGTGCATTTGTTGATTTCTGATTCCTTGTTGACATCTGAGATATATTGTTTCTTTCATTTGCTTGTTGTCTTTTATATGGAAATTGATATCTCCCCCGTAGCATGCTACCCTTCCCATACTCGACTATTTATTTATGTATTTCTTCTCCGCTGTATATAGTTGAACTGCATAGGTTTATTTGGTAGTCTGGCCCTAGCCTCGTCACTACCTCGCTGAGGTTATGCTAGGCACTTACCAGCACATGGGGTCGATTGTGCTGATACTATACTCTACACTCTTTTTTGTGATCCCAGTGCCGCAGACTTCGGACCGTAGATTGGGTGGCTACCTTCAGTCCACGCGGAGATCCAAGGTAGACCTGCAGGCGTCCGCAGGCCCTGGCGTCTCCTCTATCACTTATTTCCTGTTTCATCTCTTGATTCTGAGACAGTATATCTTTTGTTTTCAGACTTGTATTAGCACTCTTAGATCGTCTATGACACTGTGACACCAGTTCTGGGTGGTTAAGGCTTAATCGGTTGTAATAGTTACATGTTCAAATATTTTATTGCTTTCTTCCGCTTATTCTAAATTTTCCGCTGTTTACACGTTATTGCTTTATAATTGTTAAAAGGAAATAATTGGATAATGAAGTAATTAGTTCAAAGGATTGGCTTGCCTAGATCACATTAGTAGGCTCCATCACGACTCCCGAGGGTGGGAAATCCGGGTCGTGACAAGTTGGTATCAGAGCTCTAGGTTACATGGGTCTCACAGTTCACAGACAAGCTTAATAGAGTCTGAGGGATCGGTACGGAGACGTCTGTATTTATCCCCAGAGGCTACAAAGTTAGGAAAATTTACCATCTTTTCTTTCCTATCGTGCGGTTTGGTTTCTTAATGCTGATTGAATTTTCTATTCTGTTCTCTCGCAGATGCCGAGAACTCACGCTTGCTCATCCGCTGACCAGCACCCCGTGCCCCCAGTAGCAGCTCCCACGAGGGGCAGAGGGTGAGGCCGAGGTAGGGGTAGAGCTCAGCCCAGAGCAGCAGCACCAGCAGCGGAGCCTCAGGTTGATTTTGATGATGAGGTTCCGGCCCCAGCAGCTCCGGTAGGCCCAACTCAGGTCCTAGAGGGGTTTATTGCTACCCTAGTACTCCAGGATGCTCTGGTCCGTCTAGTGGGCCTTATGGAGAGTGTCACCCGGGCAGGCTTGCTTCCTGTAGCACCAGTTGTTTCTCAGGCTGGAGAAGGAGCCCAGACTCCTGCTACTCGCACTCCGGAGCAGGTAGCTCCCCAGTTTCAGACTCCAGCAGTTCAGCCAGTTGGAGCGGTTCAGCCGGGTGTGGTAGCCCAGGCCGATGATGGAGCAGCTATGTCTGCCGATGCTTTGTGGAGATTGGACAAGTTCACCAAGCTCTTCACTACTACGTTCAGCGGTGCACCTTCTGAGGATCCCCGGGATTATCTAGACAGTTTTCATGAGGTTCTTAGGAACATGGGGATAGTTGAGACCAATGGGGTCGATTTTGCTACTTTTCGCTTGTCTGGATCCGCCAAGACTTGGTGGAGAGATTATTGCTTGGCTAGACCAGCCGGATCACCAGCCTTGACTTGGGAGTAGTTTAGGCAGCTATTTCTGGAAAAGTTTCTCCCCATCACTCAGAGAGAGGCCTATCGGAGGCAGTTTGAGCATCTCTAATAGGGTTCTATGACCGTTACTCAGTATGAGACCAGATTCATCGACTTGGCTCGTCATGCTCTTATCATACTTCCCACCGAGAGAGAGAGGGCGAGGAGGTTCATTGATGGACTTATTCAGCCGATTAGTCTTCAGATGGCTAGGGAGACTGGGAGTGAGATATCTTTCCAGGAGGCGACCAATGTGGCCCGGAGAGTTGAGATGGTTCTATCCAGGGAGGTGGTCATGGGTCGGACAAGAGGCCCCGTCATTCAGGCCGATTCAGTGGTACCTCGTCTGGAGATAGGGATTCGTATGGTAGAGGCCATCCTCCTAGGCCTTTTCAGTCGGCACTTCAGGTTTCTCACGTTGCTTCGGGTGGCCGTGGTCCTCAGATGTAACATTCTGATCAGCAGCCCTATAGTGCACCACCAGCTCCCATCAGTGCACCGCCGCTTCAGAGTTTTCGGGGTGGTAATTCAGGACGTCAGGGTTAGCAGTCTCAGTAGCTGAGGGCTTGTTACACTTGTGGTGATGTGGGTCACATTGCTAGGTTTTGCCCTCGAGCACCGAGTAGCTCTCAACATCAGGGTTCCCGTGCCATGGTTCAGGCACCGAGTGTTCCACAGTCCGCCCAGCCAACTAGAGGTGGGGGTAGAGGTGCTAGAGGTGGAGGTAGAGGTATTAGAGGTGGAGCTCAGGCCGCTAGAGGTGGAGGCCAGCCAGCAGCCGGCCGTCCCAAAGACGTGGTTCGGGATGGTGGGGCCCAG